AAACACAGGAATCTTGAGTCTAGTTCCAACTAGTTGTATTTGAACTCTCCCCTCACTATCCAACAATCATCTAACTTCTCATAGAAATAATGTCAATCTCTACTTTTGTTTAGCTATCTATAAATAATTAAATCCAAATGTGCAAGTTTCCACTCTAGAAAACTGTTTTATCTCATTTTCAGACTCAAGAGGCAGTTATATGAAATGGTGTAACTTCAGCCATGGGTATTATAAGACATCCAGCCAAGAACATCCAATAGGCCTGGAGAAATTTTGTTTACAGGAACACAATCCTTACTGGTATCCCATTTCTGAAATGGGCATAGAACTGTCACAAGCTAAAATTCCTAGCTATCCACTGGTAGGGAGAATGAGAGACAACTTACTTTTCTTAACATGCCTAAGTGTGCACTGGAGAAATCTGGCAATGACTGATATCCCAAGCAGACAAAAGCTTTGCAACACTCCTCAGAAAAGTTATGTGAGATAGGAGATATGACTTCTTAATTCCAGTTTATATTACCGCTCTTGAGATAGTAAAAAAGAGAAAGATATCAATAAGTTTCTCCAGATGATTCCAACTACAAATATTATGTTCTTATTAACCAGACATATAATGGATTAATACGTTTGAGCAATGCCTCATAACTACCTTAATCCCTAGAGAAATCACTTCTAGCCTTGCCCTAAACTCATACCCACTGAAAAAGGCATTTTCAGTACTGCTATACTGCATCAGAGCTGAACACAAATACAAATAGCTGAATTTGACTGACAGAAATGTAATGTGCTTCTGCTAATGTCATAAAGGCCGCAATCAACAGCTGCTGCTCTAGGCCTGATTTGTCACACTTACTCATACTGAGGTATGAGTACCTCATATGAGGCACTGAGCAATTTTCCAAATCTTAAGAACACTTATTTTCATAATTAAGAAAAACTGTTTAACCGCATGAATTTGTTCAGCGTAAGGAATTTTACCCATGGACAAATACTGTATGGCTTGGAATTTTGCTGGAATGCAGACTGTATTTCTTGATTCTACAAAAACCTGTCTTTCATTCTTTGGGTTTCTTTCCTAGGTAGACATATGTGCAGAGTGTGAAAATCAGCAGAATGTCTTTGACTACAGCATTTCAAGACTAGTGCAAGAATGAGTGGAGTGGAAATCTCACTTTTTCCCCACCATCAGCTTTGATTTATGAACAGCAGGCCTTCCTCTGTAAACCTCAGAAAAGAGACTGCAGAGGTATAGAGGCAAAACATTTAGGATTTTTGCCACAGGCCATTAGATAAGAGTTCAAGCCTTATCCCAGATTAGCTGAGCTAGAAATGAGCATCTAGTGCTCCTGTTGGCAATCTGAAGCTAAAGTGAAGAGATAGTAGCCACACCACTTAGCGTGCAATAGACTACAGAAACTGACATGCCTTAAGTGGATTAGGGCACAGGAATGTATATACACATATATATTTAATATGGATTAACTGAGTGACAAGTTCACTAAGAGTCTACGTTATTCAACTACCATCTACATCTGTCAAATGAACTGGCTGCAGGTAGGGAACGTCTATGTCAAAGGCTGTGAGACCTGGAGAAATCTGCTGTGTGGGTTACTTCTTGAGTTAGGCACCCAAGAAAGCATACTCAGGCTTTTGGGCAGTAAATCCATGCCAGAACTACAGATAGTAGGTCAAATTACACCAGTTGACCGTCTTTGTGCTTTCAAGGTCCTTGGAAGCTAGAGATGCACTAGAAATTTCCAACCGTCTGTGTAGGACCTATTCTCAAGGGAAAATTCAAGCTGACTCTTGCCAGTCCTCTGAAAGGTTGAATTTCTTCTCATAAAAGCTGGCTAAAAACATGCTTTGCTGGTTGTAGACTCAGGTTTTCTGTTTCCCTGCATCAGTACCACACAAAGAAGAAAATTATTTTTGCCAGCTCAAAGAACTCCCATCAAACTGAAGTACCGTGGAAATGCTAAATATTTTCCCCAGACTCCTCCTCTTTCCAGGACCGATCTCTATGCATCCTCTGAAAACTCTCTGCATGGAATCAGCACACAAGCAAACTATTGCAGGTTATAATGGGGAGCTGTCTTCAGAATGACAGCTGAGAGTGAAGGCATAAGAGGCCCTGTCTATGGACTTTTTAGTCCATAATAACGCTAAAACAAAAAAAAGAACCCCAAACTCTTGATTTTGGATCATACTGCCTTGGCTATTTCCACTTCTCTTTGCACAGCATGTACAGAGTATCAAAGGAGAACACAACCAGCAAGAAGAGATTTAGTTACTAAATTATAGTAGTCCTTAAAAAAGCATGTGTGGGTTCCTATTTTTTAATAACAAAATTTACACTGCAAGAGCAATTATGCACCTATCTCTCTCTCTGACATATGGCCAGAAACTTAATTAAGCACATAAAGAGGAAGGAGAAGGTATGCTGAAAAAAAAAAATCAACAATGCTTCTTAAAAATGTATTCCATTCCTTGTTTAATACAGCAAATACTTCAAGTTGTAATAATTTATATTTTTGTCTATGAGTACCTATTTGATTTCAAATTTTGTCATAATTGGTAAGAAGCCTTAAAAATTATTGACTTCCAGTTATGTTTGTATCTTGCTGATATTTTTTTAAAATGCTGTCAGAGAGCCTGAAGGATTTAGAAAGTAAAGTCTGATTTAAAAGAACGGAGAACCTAGATGTCATTTCCATAAGACAAGATGTGCACTGTCTTATCTGTTTTGCAAATGATGTTTGTTGGTAGATGTTGAGATGCCAAAGTGACCCAATTCTGTTCAGCTATCATTTGCTTTGAAAATAGCCTCTTTAAACTCCTACATCTGACTACATTTGAAACTGTAACCCCCACATTTTTTCATTCTTTTTCTTGTAGAATACTAACCAGAAGGTATTAATTTAAAAGAACTCAAGGTGACTCACATAGCTTCTCTTTTTGCATTGTTAGTTTTCCCACTACCAAAAACTTGCTTTACACCTGGCTGCTATTATCTCAAAGTAGTCAAGGAATGTAGTAAATATTATCCACATATAATTTATTAAAAGCTGAGTCAAAGAACAGGTGTTGCTATTGTAAAGATTAATTTTGCAGCTCTTCTGCTCAGACTCATAAATTACAAAATCTTGGGCCTCCTCAACACTAAATCACACACACAGCATCCACACAGATTTATTAACTTTAGGGTGAAAAATGATGTGTAATCTTGCCAGCTGCTCTGCCTACAAGCATGGGCACCAGCAAGTATGTCAAGCCCCTCACTGACTCTCTGCTTTACAACTGGGAACTGGCAGCTTCTCTTTGTCAGCAGTGGAAGTTCTGCACTTTCTGCTTGCCAATTACATTAGCGTATAACCTCAAATGGAGATGATAAGATTACTGTTGTTATTTTTAATAACATTTATATTTACTAGATTTCAGGTAGATTTTTGCTTTGATCAAACATTTTTGTGCTACTACTTTACTTATATTAGTAGAAAGACTGACCTACTATAAGGGGTGCAGCAGTTAACCACACAGGTTCACAGTGAGAAAGATCTACTATGATTCTTAGAATCTTATAGCCCAGGGTCTTCAATGCTCAGAAGTCCCCACACCCATGCAACTCAGGTATGGCAGCTACAAAAGAACCATGCTATGCATCTGATGTGTCCTGAAGCATCAGCCTCCCTCACCACAGAATTAGCACCAGTCTCTGCGCACAGTCAGTCCTACAAATGTCAGTGGGATTGTAAATTCATTACAGAAAATACAGGGGAAAATTCATGTGTACAGAAAAGGCAAGTACCAGGCTTTCCCATTGGCCACCTAAGGTGAGCTTTAGCCCAAAGATAAGTGAAAGGTTCAGATGCAAGTCAAACAAGACTTACCAGCTTTGAACTAAAATCAGCTGAAAACACAGAATTTCATTTTACCACTGTACTAATGTTAAAAAACTGGCATGTGCTCTTCAGTATCTCACTATGTAATCTGAAATTTCATAGGCAAATCCCTGGCTACGTATGGATTTGTGAAACTCGTATATGAATACAAAATTCTTAATTTTTTAAAGTGGTATAATTAAAAAATATATTCTGTTTATCTGGCATGATGATTATTATTCATTAATCCTTTACACAACTGTTCTTTTCTGTGAAGAAATTGGCTTTTTCTTAACTCTGCATGTCTAAAGCAGCTTTAGTAGAATGTGTTAATTTTTCTAAACATGCTGATTAAATAATCTCTTATTTTCAAGTATATAACCTAACATATATTAGGAAATTTTTGCAAATCAACCATTACAGATCACAAAACTAATGTGAATTAAAAACTAAAATGCAAAAATTTAATATTTTCAGCAAGATTATTTATGGGTACCCTGTAAGCAGATATAACTTGCTACAGTTTCAATGTATTGCAATTTGTAGCATGTTACTTGCTGTTACCTGTTCTGCCATTTAGGTTATGATCCTGCTGACCTTTGCTTTCATGATTAGACAACTGCTTCAAAAAGCGTAGGATATTAAGGATTACTTGTGTGATTAAGAACTTTTTTTTCTTACAAAGGAATTCAAAAGAATGCAGGCAAAATAGAGATAATGGAGTCACAGGCCTGAGGAGGAAGGCTCTACTTTTCAGATCTACTGGGTTTTTTTGTGGGGTTTTTTTTGCCAGTCAGTACAGATTTACTGAAGAGACTATCTATTTCATCTTCATGTTAATTTTCTGGAACAGCTACTTTAACACATCAGTACAAATTGTTTTGCTTAGCTAAGTAAACTGTGGTCTGTGATCATTTTGCCAATGTTCAGTGACTGTCAGAAAGCTTACGTAAATCAACCCTATAGAGTTCAGCCCTCAAACAAATGAGTAATTGGTACTTATGAAAAAAGCTCCTGTGGGCAGGCATGACATCTTCACAGGGTCTGATGATATGAAAAAGAGAAGTTAACGGTTTGAGGGGCTTTGATGTATTGTCTAGTCCTAACAAGTATACTTACATTTGTCTTGGTCAGCTTCCACTCCTTCACTTTCTGTGTCACTCGGCAATATCCAAGGTTGATGAGCAAGCTGAAGCTGTTGTAAGAATTCATCCTGCCACAAACAGATCTATTTTAGATAAAATGACAGAGAATGGTTCTATACAAATGTAAACACTCTAGTCTCAATTAACTAGAGAAGAGAAAGCCTTTAATTAAAAAAAAAAATCTTTCTGTGAAATAAAACCAGAATATAGACAATATGCAGGGTCTCTAGAAATTTCTTTATTGAACTCTTATTTATTTATCTATTTTGAAAAAAAAAAGATCTCTTTAGCTATATATCTGCTATAAGCACAGATATATACTTGCTCATCTTAGAAATGCAGCAACATGGAAAAAAAATCTCAATGCCATCTCTATGCCTAGATATATCATGCACAAAATTTGCTTAAGTAAGGCTTTGATTTGTCAGAACTTTCACTGTCTCCAATCTAGTAAGGACAAGGACCTGAAACTTGATTTATAACCTATGGTTTTATTGGAGGAGAAAGCCTATGGAGGAAAAATGCTATGGAAACCTTCGTCTCCAAGACACCATAAATCTCTAAGCATCAAATATACGTGTTTTACACAGTTAAAAACCCATATGTAGCTCAATACGTTTTTTAAAAAATGTTTTATAATTGCCTCCTTTCTTATATAATGTATATATGTATGTATATAAAACTATTTTTCCATACACATACATGTATGTAAGCATGTACACACAGAGACATACAAAATATTTTGACAGACTCCTTTGCAAAGTTCAAGGTGAGAGATGAGACTGGAATGCACAGGTTTATTTTCAACAACAATTCAAACATGCAAGTCTAGTCCTTAAATATTGTCCAGATATCATAAAATCACTGGCCAGATTCTTACAAGCGCCTGAAAGAAAAAGGGGCTAACAGACACCAGAATCTACATATTCAAAGATAAATTTTATTGCACAGTGCTACAGCACAATTTTTGTTGTTAGGCTCTCCAGTTTAAAAATATAAACTAGGCTTGGTTTACTCGTTTCTTGGAAACCTAAGGCTGTTCAATCAAGATGTTACTCACTGGGAATAAATTATTAATTGTCATTAACCTCTTCAAAAATCCACACAATGCTGCAATGGCTCAACACTAAGCTTGGGCAGGAGCTCCAGGCCTTATGCACGTATTGCCATTTCAATGTGTTCAGCGCTCAAGGTCGCTAATTACAGCAAAAAGCTTGGCAGTTTTGGCTCGCGGAGCAGGATTCTTGCAGTATGAGCAAGTGGCTCACATACCGCTCAGCATACTTTTTAGTCTTCCAAAAACACAGAGCAAAGAGCTGAGGCAGGCAGTGGAACAGAATGGAAATCTTTGACCAAAAAGAGAGTCCTCATCACATCAAGTTGTGCTCTACACTTCAGTAAGGAGGTGGAAAACTTGTGTTAATCAATGCCATATTCAAATAAGCTGAAATTTCCTGTTGTTAACAATGACAGATGAATAAAGATTCCTGAGTGCCACTTTATCTGGATAAATAATGTGATTGTAAAATTCTGTGTTCAGAAAATGAGATGGCAAACAAGGGAGTCAGTAGTATTTTCATCTCAACAGCTATTGATAACCATCACAGAATTGTGTCACTTTAATGGAATCCATCCTAGAGATAAGCAGGATTCAACATTCCTTAGTCAACTTATACAAAACAACAAAGGAAAAGGTAAATGCATAAAAGTATCTCTGACAAAGGATTTGGAACCCTGATTTATTACTTTTATAGAGATAATAAAACTATTTCTCTAGGTAGCATTTCTTTGCTATAATTCAATTCAGCCTTGAACAGAGCTGATAATAAAACACACCTGTTAGAACTTTGTAATATGTGTGCCAAGAGGCAGAAAGTTGTCCACAAAATCTCAGACCACTATAAGTTCTGAGCATTAAAGAAACCACAAAACATTCTTAACAGCTGATATGTTAAGTACTTGCCAAATTATTTAAGATTTGTGCTGTAACAAGATCAAAAAATCTTGAGCTACAGCATGAACTTTACTAAAACTTCAGAAGAACTCTGAATTGTATTTATCAGTAATATTTTTGTATTTTAGACTTGTTATGTTACTCTGAAAGATATTACAGGCTAAGAAGCATACATAAGGCATTGAGAGAAATGCTAAAATTCCTCATAAATAAACAAGTGACAGCATACACAGTGTAAACCCATCCAGCTTTAATTCAAGCTCCTTAATCTAAAACATGCTCCTGGTACCCAGTTACTGCATCCTTTTCAATGGACTTATTCTTATCAAATATATATCAACTTTGTACTGGTTAATTCCATTAACACCATCTAAAAGTATGGAAGAAGAACTATTTGCAAAATCTTATCATAGTATCTTCTATAGGACTGACAATATGACCACAGTATATTCACATCTGCTGTAAATTCTGAATTCACACCTTTAGTCTAAGAATGAAGGCAATTTCCCTCATTTTATTTTACAGTTTTTATACAGGAAGAGGATACAAAACCTACAATGAACATTGCGAAACAATTTACAGTATCAGCCTCAAGTTTTATATGTTTGTGATCTGTGAGAGTAAAAAGACAATACTTTGTTGTTCTTCTACCCCACACCACCTTTGATTTTTAAAAATTTGTCTCCATGGTCAGAAAGAAGCTGTGACACAAGAGAATGAAGTCACATGGCCACAAATAGGGGTCACCTCTAACATGGCAAAAAATGTCACTGAACAGAGATACTTCCCGGGTATGTTCTGTCTAAACCCACTTCTCTAAATGGGCAGGAACCTCAAAGGGCAAAGAGAGCTTAAAAGAGCTCCCAAAGCTTCCAGGATAACACTCCAAAGATGGGGCTGGGAGCAGCAGGCTGGCTAGATCCCCATCAGCTGATTTCTGACATTCGAGGGCCTTTACAGCTTGGCAGAAGAAGGTCTTCAGTATGAATGTGTTATATTAGCAGTTTTCCCCTTGGAAGCAGAGCCAGTTGCAAGAGGAGTTTTCATGAAGTCAAAGGTCACTTTTGCATGACAGGAAAGGATAAATAGGGTTTGAGCTGGGTCACCAGCAGCCAACATACTATTGTACCCAGCGAGCAAAGAGAAAGAAAAGAATTTGTCACTTCTAGAAGGGATTATAACAGACGATAAGATCCTGCGTAGGAATGCTGATATTTAACACCAGCTTTACAGTGGGCTTGCTAGATGAAACTGGACATGCTATTCTAACTGTAAAATCAGGGTAACAATATTGCTCATTTCTTGAGACATACATATCCATATGTTAAAAGTATAAAAAGACACTTATTGTAGGAGCTATCAGCAAAGTTTCGGATTTGGCAAACAGAAATAACAAGTCACAGCAAATGAAATGGGATTCATGGTTATTATTACTGTAACTACAGAAAGGCTGTGGAAGAAAGCATTTTTAATTGCCTGCCTTGTTACAGGAAAGGTCAGAAGTGATGGACAGACTGGATGTCACTTGGTGGAGTTCAGTGCTCATTACATGGCATGTTTGGGAGTCTACACAGTAATTCTAGTTGGCACCACATGACTGTGTATCAGTTAAGAACAGGACCGCTTAAAAAGAAAAAAAGAAAAAGATGAGTGATGTGTTTAGTGGGAAACAATGAAGTCCTTAATTTCTTCTAAACGTTTTTAGTTAAAAAGGGATTTCAATTCTCAATTTTCTGGTATTTGAGAAAATACCAACACACAAACACACCCACTCCTCAAAACAGGAGACAAAGGGTTTTTGTTTGGCAAAAAAGAGATTTCTTACAATTATATCTTTTTTTCCCATGGAAAACTTCTGGTTTGAAAATATGTCAACTAAGAGTGAAGATACTTTCAACAGAACTGTAGTCACCTTTAGTCCTCATGTCTTTATGTTGGATATTCAATTCTAGGTGAAGTAGCTTGAGTGATGGGATTAGCGCACTGCCATTCAAACACCAAAGAGAAGAATTTTTCCACCACCAAATTTAAATAAGATTTCCTTCCCAAATTCTTTAGTTTTAGAGTTATCTGTGCCTCATTTCCTTTCTTTCATAATAAATAATGGAGGCCATGTACTTAGTTTCAAGATTAAATTTAGTATCAAGTCTCTAATTTTCCTACAAGTATCTCTAAGCATTATTATTATAAAAAACATTTTTCAATTTTTTTAAAGAAGCTGTTAGACTGATAATACATTGTGTCAAGTGTCATACCCAACAGATTTTTAAAACAAATTATACTTCTCAGAAACAATTATCTAAAGGTATGATATTTTTTCAGTCCTGGAAAAAAGCTCTCCAGGCTTTGACAAACAGATTACAAAGAGAATGGTAATAAATGTTTGGAACCAACTTATTCTACCATTATAAAATCAGCAATCTAGACAGATAGGTCCTTCTCAAGTCAGTAGAGAAGGACTAGCATTTCCTGAGAAAAAACCCACCTTTGTAAGGCATGTATCTGAGATATTTGACAGCAGGGCTATTTTTTCACAGGTGCTTTATTTCCACTGCCAACACAAAGTTATCTTTAAGGCAGCTACGGTTAGCAGAGGAGAATCCCACTCAAAATTTACAAGGTACTTTAACTTCTTGGTTTTTTTTGTTTCAAACAAAGACTAACTCTGTAAAAGCCATTAATATGGGACAGGAAGATTTTATGCTCCAAATCAGCCTAGTTAACATGCCTAGTTAACATGCATATAGTACTAGACAGTGATTCAACGATGCTGGACGTTTTCTCATTGCAGTTCAGTCTTGTGTTTTGGAAAAGTCATCCATTCAGCAATGCCTGACTAATCATTCCAATGCATTCAAGAAATGGAAGAAAAAGCAGACCAAGGAAATAGTATGCACTGCCGGTGCAGCAGGCAAAAAAAAATACCCTGGGATCATAAAGATAACGTGAAGTTATGTTTAATATTCCAGAGGTATGCACCTCTTAGAAACTGTAAGGCTAATAAAACTGCTATGCATCATGCAGGCAAAACCCTACAGAGCTTATGGAAAATTTGACTGCTTCAGATTTTTGTTTTTTCAGTATGATTTCTGTAATAGGAAATCCTGACATTCCCTAATCAGTACCTCTCAAAGCTGAGCAGTATTTCCTTGCTAATTTTCTCAGAATTATATTTCAAGTTCTTTTCAGAGCAGCGAGTTACATTAGGTATACTGATGTTACTTCAACATAAAATACAATCTAGTTTTCACGTTATAGTATCTTAAACATTGCAAAAACATTAAATTGAAAATCTTACTTCTGATAAACTGCTTCTCTGAGTAGTGACAGTTCCAACAATGTCTCCACTCATTTGTACAGAAAGCCCTGAAGCAGCGCTGAGGGTCCTCCCCATTTGGCTCTTAGATGTCAAAGATCTGCTTCTTTGCATACTAATGATGCCTTCCCTATTTCCTTGGTTGCTAGGGGTAAGAGGCCTTGATAGCAAGCTATTTGGGGTCATAGGTCTGCTCCTCGAAGTTGATGGCCTGTTGGTTTGTGTACCAGGTGTTGGAGGCCTACTGTTTGCAACACTGGAGACCTGTGTTCTGCTGTTAGTGGGCAGCGGTGGTGATTTGTTTCCTTGGAGCTGAATGTTCTTCCCCATCTGAGTTGACACCTGAGGCCTCAGATTTTGGCCCTGTGTAGCTTGAAGATTGCCTTGATGGTCAGATGTAACTAAACTATGATGTTGGATACTAGGACTTCTTGAGAGCCTTGCTTCTTCCCACAGTGCTAGGTCCTTCTCAATATCTGTGCACACACACATGAACAAAAAAGAAAAGAAAGACAGAAACTCACTTTCTGTTTCTCTCTGGTTTAAAACTCTTATTGATTTCCTCCAACATCAGTAACAATCTGAAGCTGTGCAGAGAAAAATCTATTCACCTTTAAAGTAGAAGGCATCAGAATTAACCATTCAAATGCTTGACAAGCTTTTCCTGAAAGTTTATTTACATTTGGTTTACTGCAAACACAGCTATCCCACAGAAACAGAAAAATACCACTTCACTGAATGTCAATACAGCCTATGAAAAACCCTCTCATTTCTTAGAAGTTCTCTGTGGCTTTTGCACAGTTTCTTATTAGTATCAAACCACGATGGAGCAGTGAGCTAAGCTTGCCATCCTCAGTTGCAGTGAACAGCAATCCAAAACTGGTTCACGGCAAGACTTTTACTTCTGGCCTCGCTAACTATTGCCCAATCTAAATTCTAGGGGAAATAACCCTTGAATTCTGGCACATCTGGATCTGTGTTCTTGTTTGAATCTGAATTTTGTGCTTTGGCTTGCCGTCAGTGCCACAGCAAGTGACAGGGTCACCAGCATATAGAATCCAAGGAGAAAAAGGTGATCACCATTTGGTGGTCCAGTCCATACCTCACACAGCTATAAGGAGTAAGATCCTATTTAAAAACACAACAATCAGGGTAGTGGTGAAAAGTGCCTTCTGATTTCATTTAAATCATATTAATGCTTCTAATGAATTAAATCAGATACTTTCAATAAAGACAGGTGAGGGTAGCTGGAATTTAGGTTAGCATTGCTAACATAATGAAAATCCTTGCAAGTAAAAATGTCCAGCCTAAGTTTACTCAAGTTTCTTTTATCTTACACAATTGTTATGAATTTTCACTCTCACTGGCATGTATTCTACTGTAATTTAGTTTTGATAGGGACAGTTGGGTATCTTCAGAAAAGCAATGCCATTTCCCATTAAACTGTGTAAGTCACAGATCCAAGAAGCTGTAAATCAGCAAAACTCTACTGATTTAAACACCTATTAAGTGAACAAGCATTTCATATTGATTTTGATAATAATAATTTCAGGCTCTAAAAGTCCTAAAAGACACAGACTCTAAATTGCATATTGGAAAAACAGATTTTCTTTCACTTGTCTTTACCAGTATGTATAAAAGGAATATATGTAATTAAAGATGTGCTGTCTTTAACTTATTTTTCAATAACACCTTGAAAACAGGAAAATAAAGCTATGTTAATTTCATGTTACTAGTCTAATACAAGATATTCCATACATTTTAAATGCTATTACTAGAAAAGCTGGTAAAACTGAAACAGTTGTGAAAGCCTCAGATGAAAGTGTCTTTCAACTTCTTAAAGATTATATGTTTTGCTGTTCACATATTTCAAAACATGGTTACAGTTTCTAGCATACAGTTAAGAATATCTTTAATCGCAACCTTGCTGATGTCTTGAAATTAATTATTTCCATTTTGAAATAATTATATCTTGAAGTACCCTTCCATTATGCTTTTAAGAAAATCAATACACATCACTTTGGAACTTGTAAGATGCCTGGCAAGAATTCATGGGCCAATAAATGTCAATGTGGGCTACCCAATTTAAACCAAATGAGGAATATGTTCTTTTAAAGATTCAGATTAGTGTATGTCTTTGCAGAATTACAGATCTCTAACTTTCCCATGATGATTCAGTATGCTAGGAGATTATCTGAATACTGCATGATTTAATAAGAGTTAAACAAACATTTTATTCTGGCTCATGTTTACTTAATTCCATATAGCAATCAAGCCTGCAGATAAATCAACTATTCTAATCATTTCTCCACATAAAATGAACATGTTTCCATAGTGTAATTAGTCAGTTTTATATAGCACACATTCTCTTTTTGATTTTGCTTCAATATCAGCTTTTCAGCCAGAAAGAAAAAAAATTCACACATCTTCAGCTTTACAGCATTATCTGATCCACAGTAAATAACAGAATTAAATTATGACTTAGGATTTTCTTAAATCCCTTGTCAATGTCATTTAAAGGAAAAGAAAATGCAAGCAACAGAGCAACACAGAGACATTTTACTTTCATAATAGAAATACCAGGATAAGGATATGATTAATAATGTGCTTAAAACTGTTTATGTATTTAAGAGTTTTTGTGATAAAATATATTCCAGAAGTATCCGATGACCGCAGAATCAGTGTAACAAACCAAACAGAAAAGATACTAGAATAAACTACCAAAAATATATTATCTGCTTGCATGTGATATAAAGCAGCCATAGTAACAAAGCAGACTGGATCTTAGACAAAAGTATTACTGAGCCATATGCAGAGAAGGAAAAGAAAACTGATTGCTTCAACGTCTGACTTTGTAAAAATGCTGCTTTCAAATATCAAGGTACTGAGGCAGTTGCTGGCAGTTGGTGCTAATCCCTAATTCAGGCACAGGCACCAAATTGAGCCTTATGTTAGGAGTGGGTTCTATCCAGCACATTGTCCATAAGACAAAGCCAGGCTTCTTAAGAAGGTGTAACTGAGACAGGGGACCACATTTCACCATGCGTCCAATTCTGGGCTCCCCAGTTCAAGATGGAGAAGGAACTACTGCAGAGAGTCCAGTGCAGAGCCACTGAGATGATGAGGGAACTGGAGCATCTCCCATATGAGGAAAGGCTGAGAGAGCTGGGTCTGTTCAGCTTGGAGAAGAGGAGACTGAGGGGGGAATCTCACTAATGCTTATAAATATCTAAAGGGTGGGTGTCAGGAAGATGGGACCAGACTCCTTTTGATTGTGCCCAGCAACAGGACAAGGGGCAATGGTCACAAACTGGAACACAAGTGGCTGATTTTGAACATAAGGAAAAAAATTCTTTACTGTGAAGGCAACAGAGCACTGGAACAAGCTGCTCAGAGAGGTTGTGGAGTCTCCTACTCTGGAGACATTCAAAACCCATCTGGATGTACTCCTGTGTGATCTTAGCTGGGTGATCCTATTCTAGCATGGAGGATAGACTAGATGATCTCCAGAGGTCCCTTCCAACCTCTACTATTCTGTGATTCTTTGATCATTACACAGGAAATCCAAGTCATAATTCAGGCATCTAAATGACTGAATAATAGGTTCCAGTGCACTTGGTAAGCGAACTGAAACAAGGAGACTGGCTGATAAGAGAGACCCTTGAACTTTTGCAAATAAGAGACAAATAAGGCCAAGCAAAAACATAGCATTATTAACTGAGGTCCTCTGAGATGATTCTTCATGGAAATTATGTTATGCTTGTCTGTGGGGGGAATAATTGTCTCAAGCAGCACTGGTGTTATAACAGGACATGAATTATTAGGAATACAAGAGTCCAATGTGTAATAATTGGACTGTTTTCTTGTGATTTTCTCAGGCAGACAGAAATTACTGAATGGCAGAATTACTGAACCCCATGTTACAGTGTTACTGAAATAATGGGTGCAAAGCCAAATAACAACAGCATTGATGTGAGAGAGAAGACCTTGTAGGTCCCACAACAGCAGACTGAATCTCAGACTAAGTGAATGTAGCTAGTTACCTTACGGTCAATTAAGTATTTAAAATTCTGTATTCTATTGAATATGGTAGTTATTATTATCAAGGAAGATCTAAAGGAACTGCATGTTTCAGAGCATACCACATACAAGAATAGCTTGTATGACCATGTATGTGCGACCAGTTAGGACACAAATCAAAGTAGGGTGATCTACACCAGACCACTTCTGAGCAACAACCACAGCAACATACGGGCAGGTGAGTGCTACCTCAATGGCAGAGGCCCCTGGAGTATTCAGGTCCATGCTATGCAACATAAATCTGATGAGCACAGCTTGGTCTGCTGGTCTCCTGGTTCCTACTGAATGTTCCTGGCAGTTTCAGCTTGGAGAGAGTGCTCATGGATTTCAGTCTAGCTTGGCAGTGACTACATCTCCAATAGCTAAGTGACTTGAACTTGTAAAAAAACTAAATGACACTATCTCTGTTCCTCATTTGTAGGTATTGCAATTTTTAGTTCATGTTCCATTCCAAGCAAAAACTGTTTCTAAAGAGCTTCCCTCATTGTGATCATAGCTACATTCTGCCTTGACTTCAGCTGCAACAGCCCCTAGAGAGGAGTACAGCAACCATACCTCTCTCTAAAGAGGATACAGTTCCCAAGACTTTCACACCAATATAACTGGTAGGATAAATGACCAAAATGTTTGAGAAATTCACATCGAAAGGAGTAAGTTCTCTGCCTCACTCTGAATTACTTGAAAGAAGAGCCAGATAAATTTCATTTCTCCCTTCACCTTAACACCCACAGTCTTTATGTTCCCATCCTGCATTACTTTTCATAGAGCTGGCCCATGAAGCACAGCTTTAACCATATGACAAACAGCATGCAAAATACAGGAAAATCATGTTATAGGTCTATGACATACCTTCTAACTAAGGCTGAAGATAAGAAAATACTGATTACAAAGAACAAATTGCAAACCTTATCCTAGAATATCCTTCATTAATTTTTATAGAGCTCTGAAACATATTTTCACTGAAAAAAGGGGGTTTTTCTTTGACCTTTTAGAAATGGTTACTCCATCAAAGAAGTTGCAGATGTTCCACTGCACGTAAGTTAACAGATTTTGCTTAGCCAGAAGTCTCATGAACAAGGTGGGCTTTTCCTGCAAAACAAACTGTTTTAAAGCTAAATGTCCACTGCAGCCTTTTCTAAAGACAACTGTAGGTGAAGCATCATTATCTCCTATTGCCTAAGTCTTGGTGAAATCTGAAGACAAAAAAAGGTGTGTTATTAATCTGTCAGACTGCAGTATATTTAACACAGTTTAATTACTGTTTAATTACTGTATTTACTATAATTAAAGTTCATTACATCTACAGCACAACAATAATTCTGCTGTTTCTCTTCAATGAAGTAAAAGTGAAGTTTAAAGTTTTAATCAGCATGTGAGATAGAGCATATTTTCCTTCACCTAAAACTTTGGCAGAGCTAGCTGGGCAAGTACTGCTAGGCGTTTTATGATCTCTTGCTACCATACATACCAGCTAAGTGTTTTTCCATGGTTTGAAGTTCTTTTGCTGCTAAGGAGTCCTTTAAGAGTTTCTGTCTTGGAGAACCTCCAGGTCTCACAGCCAGGGCATCCAGGGTCCAAACTGTCTGAGGCTTTCACAGACAAAAAGAAAAGGGAATACTTTCAATCTAGATTCACATTTACACTTGAAAAAAATAAAAACCTGATGCTTTCAATAGATAGTGAATCCAGTGCTTTTTATGTAGGAAGAATATATAACACTTGATAAAATATTACAAAATACCATGTCTTACCTTAAATAACATAAATACTGGGCATTACTTAAAATCAACAGGTCTAAAATAATTCAAATATATACCCTCACACAAGCTCTTGTTCCATGCTGAGACTTCATAACAGGACAAGTTCTTCAATGATTTACATTCTGTGCAGTTCCAGCTACTTAGTGGGGGTTGCACTTAACTTTAAATTACCATAACATTTGGCACTGTATCTCTGCAAGCAGCACTTCTGGGAATATCACAGAATTTCCTAATCAAAATTGCCAGTGCTGTTTTATCACTGCAAGATGTATTCCTTTCAGGAACAGCAACTAAATCCTCAGGGCAACACAGCAGTTTGGAAGGGATGCAGGCAAACAGACCACCTCCCCAGTCACTTCGCTATTGAACACTGCAGTATTCAAAATTATCTGCATTTTCTGGAAGCCACTCAATACAGTTACAAGAAATTATTTAAAAATATACTATGAGGTAAACTTGGTAATGAGGTATACTTGTTTGAAACACACAAAAATATATGATCGATTGTGCAAGACTTAGTCATAAAAACAACAAACAGAAACATTAATTAAAGCATTCTTAGCAGCCTATCTGAAATAAATTTTACATTATTACCTCATCAAAACATTTCATCTGAAGTCTAGGAGATTTTGTTGATTTCTCAGGTTTCCTAAAGAAATAAGGCTTATGCAACAGTCTCATTGTCATCCATCTTTTACTAATTTTTTTTATTTGTCAAATGAATCTAGAGCAAGGCCATGGTTTCACAGACATTAACTGAAGTAATTTCAGAGAGGAGAATGACTGAGCAGAGGTGGGAGACCCAAACTGGCGACCTCCTTCACAGGAGGCACACAGGGCTCCACTGCCACGCAGTCTGCTGAGCTGGAATCACATCACACCCAGACACATGTGTTGCTGCAGCACATGATGGCACTTTATTGGCTGGACTCTCATGACGTAGGGAAAAGTGTACCACAGATCGAAGGATGAACACAAAAATACAGGTTTGATAGGATCTCTGTTCACAGACAATTTGCTTTAACCATAAACACTAAATAAAACACTGTAGCTGCCTTGCTTTTCAGAAAAATAAGCGTAATTCTACAGAAGTAAATTGTTATATGGGATATATTTTACAACATTTTTAATCTGTTCCAAATCAACACTGCCTTGTATGCAACCAATAACTGCGAACCATGTGTCTTTAAAATATGTTAACACGGACTCATATTTATAAAGGAACAGTTATACTGTAGTGCTGCACATCTGTACACAAAGTCTAGTCATATTTACCCCATATGAAATAGTTCGAAGCTGCAGATGATTCTGTTGTTATTAACTCACAACATTTTCAGAACACTAAAGACATTTTTTGATTTGCCAATTGTTTTTTAGACTAGTTCTGCTTTGGTTAAAGTTACCCACATTTAATCCCAGGGAAATACACAGAAACAGCTGAATAAAATGCAGAAGTGGAACTGATCCTGCACACACACTTATTTCAGGCATATCACTAGAGCTGATTCACCTGTTCCCCCAAGACATTTTGAGCATTTGTCACTAAAGTCCTCATTGTGACTTCTCTATCCAAATCATAATCTGTCTTGTTGAGGTCACTACAGAATACTAATCTGTATTAAACTATTTACTTCTCTAAATGTTTATTTCTAATGTCGTTATCCAATATCTGTCTTTAGATGGAAGAATATTTTATTCTGTGAAGAACTCCTCCAAAATAAATGAAACTAAGTAAGAGATGGGAAGGGGAAATAGAGCCTGCAACAAAAGTCTAATATTCTGATTTTCAATCTGTTTTCTGATACACTCTTGTCCCTAGATTTTTAATGTGGAAAAATGTCATTTTTATATACATTTTATAGTGTATATTTTCATAAGAGGGAAAAAAACAACAGAATTTCAATAATGACTATGGGGGGAAAATCCCCAAGGTTATATGATGAATCCTTTTTGAATGTACAATTTCATGCACAAATACAATGCTGACGAAACACGGAATAAAAACTAGTCAGTGGTCTATGGTAGTACTTGAAGACTAAACTGCTCTTCAAGCTATTCAAGTTTATCTTAAGCAAATTATTATGGGTTTTCAACAACTCCCCAGTCTCCTAAAAAAGAGAATTCCAAATGTTAGCCTGTCGAGAGGTTTTCACACTCCATCTTCTATTTTCTGGAGATGAAATGGAGTTATCTTTCTCTTTTGCAAACCTCTAAAGTGTGTTCCTACGTCCCGCCTTTTCCTCTACTGCACTTCTTTCCTTTATGCATAGCAATCATGTAAGACATATACAACTAACTGTGTGTGACTGTCTGAGTAAGGGCAGCTCAGCCTATTGCCTGTAGTAGAAACTAAGATAAACAGAGAAAAACTATTCTTTGATGGTAATTATCACAACAGTGCTTTAGACATTTATAAAAATGCGAGTAATATTTAAAGCAAATAAATTGCAATTAGGAGACTCCAAATCACAAAAATCATCAAACATTAGCAATACCTTTGCAGGTTTCAATAGAGGTTTTAAAATCTCATATAAGTTCACGTCATAAATATAGATATGCCAGTGTATGAGTACATACAGGCACACAAAGGCATGTACACACAGGCATTCAATAAATATCTGTGTCCGCCTTCATTCTGCTAACACACAGCTACAGAGACATACAGAATTTGTGCTCAGTTCTGGACACAACACAGATGTACACCTTCTTTCTAAGAATAAATAATAATCTTGTGCACGATTTAAAACAAACACATATACATATGTTCAGTCTCTACTATTACATATGTTCAAACTCTCTTTCAGATACACAGTTACAACACCCTGTGAAATTAAAGAGGTCACTTCAGATGAAGCTTTTCCCCAAATTTTGTACCTTTTCCTGCACATCTTTCTGTTCTATGAAATGTCATAAGCTCATGGCATTTTGTCAAGCAATAGCTTCATAAAAGACCAGAATAGTATTGCAATACCAGTCATGGAAGATGAGATATTTAACATTAGCAATTTAATTTTGTGATAAATTATGTGTTTATAATAATGCTTTCCAATTAAACACTCACTTGATAGAAAATAATAATGATTTAGGGGAAAAAAAGTACAAGAATTTATTATGAGAATAAACTGTAGTGTAATCATTTTTTGTTCCCTCTCTGAACCTAGATATTTCAGGGCTATAACCAACAACATTTTTCAAATCAGGCTCAGGTAATGCTTCATTCTATATCTCTAAATAATACTGAACATAAATAATATTTTTTAACATTTTGAGACTGAGTTCATCTAAGTGAATAACATATAAACACAGACAGAGGTCCTCAGTGTCTGCAGCACACAACTTATGCAGCAGCGTTATTCCTAAAAGATAAACACAAGCTGAAAGTAAGGTATGTTATCAAGAAGGCTTGGGAATCATGTCAATTCAAATGCAAAGACAAATTACTTTATATAGCTCCAGCAGAATTCACTGGTGCTTCTTCTCTCCACTGGATGAATGGTAGCAGTTCAGATATGTCACTTAAGAAAGAGATAGAGGCTTGCAAGCCATTTATTTAAAACTTCATATTCCACTTCACCAAATCTACCCTTTGTCTACTGGCCAGGAATTGCAGAGATAAAACACCATTGTCAGTTAACTTGGACTTTAATGACAATGACAGTAGCCTGAAGGTAGCTGGAAAATACAGCATATATTTATGAAGTATGTGCATAAAAGTCCTTTCAGTTCCTTCAGTATCCTCCAAAATATAATTGCCCCTAATAATTCATTAAGCTTTATAAATATTAGCACAACATTTATAAATAGCCTTTTTATATTAATAAGATTAATAAAATCTAAATATGAGGATGTAACTGAAAGACATCCTTGTCTTTTTAACTTGTAGAAACAGCTCTGGGCCCTGTCCATGACATTCAAACTTTGAAGGTGAAGCAATGTCTCCCTGAGCCAGAAATACATACAAGCAAAGCCCTCAGGATACATTTGTCAACTTTCAAGTTAACTATGTGCCCATTTCTTAAGTGGCTTTCTTTACATATCATCATAATTTCTTCACATACAACACATTCATTAATGCTTTCTTTACTTAGCCAAATTACTGCTATAATAAAAAATTACAAACAATAAAGCCAAAGGTCATCTCTTTATCACCGGTTCCTTGAACTTCTGGAAAATACCATAACTTACTGTGAACGCCACAGTGGAACAGAAATACAATTAAGGAGTTCATGAATAAGAATAACGAAGTTTTTCCAAGATGACTGTATCTGCCTCAATTTGTAGCACAATGTTAGTTTGATAGCATACATCAATATAGCTTTTATTCCCCCAAAAAACAGTGCAGATGCAAATGTCCTGATTTCACCTTCGAAATGACTTGGCATGAGCTGTGTAATACCCACTAATGCCTGGAGGGTTCTGCGGAGGTGCAACATTTCAGAACAGCTAAGGCCAGAAGGAAGGCCTCCAAATTACCTAAAACATCAACTGGAAGTCGAGGGCTTGTTAGGAAGTTCTTGCTGACCATAAAAAGTGTTATTAAACAATGCAGCATTATATTTCTATGTAATTTTGGCCTGCTTCAGAGTAAAACACCCAAGCTCATGCACACACACAACCTCTTTTCAGGTGTGGGAACAGTCCCACCTCACAAGAGAAAACACTTCTTCCTTGTTAAAGACATGCATGATTGCGATGAAACAAGGAAAATCAGATGAAACTAAATTAATTAGTTACTGGCAACCTGTAAGTATATTCAATGCATTTTGATTGAACTTTTTCTAGTTTTATCAATCAAGTGCATATTTTACTGATACCTACAGGAAATAAAA